AGAAGGTGCTATTTATAAGACTGAGTTTGTTGCAGCTCCTCAGACTGAAGGTCCAAATCCACAAACAAAGGAAAAAAGAGGAGGCATCGGGTTAGATTGACAGGTGAAAGAAGGCCACAAAAGGAGAAATATCAATACCAGAGCCAACAGGTGTGTGTGTGTGGTGTGTGTGTGTGTGTGTGTGTGGAGGGGGGGGGTCCCAGGGATGGCATGATGGAGTGTGAGAGAGTGAAGGTAGGAGATCAAGGAGAACTGAATAAAAGAATGAAAACAGAGGCTGAGAGGAATCCTGATTTTTCATTTCAGATGGCAGACGATGCTTCAAGATCAGACAATCAGGCCGGATGGCTTTGAGAGGCTCAGTCAACTTAAGGCTTGGAAATTGATGTGAGGACGGTAAGGAATGTAAGAAAATCTCAGCGAGAAATAAACGGAGGACGAGGAAAGATAAATGACAGAAGAGTAAATAAGAGCAGCACAAAAGGACAAAGAATTCAACCAGATAGAAGAATCCTTTGGGCAGGGAGAGTAGGAAGATTGTACTGCTCATGGCAATGTGTAGCTGTGCTGTGATGTTGTTAGAGTCACAAATCAAACTCAGAACCCCAACCTTTCCTTTGGCATAAACAGTCAAGTCAAAGATCGAGGAGAGCAGGACAGTCGGTTGGATGGAACGATTATTTATTTCTTTATTTTTAAGAAACCCTGTCAGCGGTGCGTTTATGTGTCCTTCACCCCACTCCCATAGGAGTAGCATTAAAACATGTCCTTCCCACCTACCCTTTATTCTTCCCGCTTTTCTCACTCTCTGTCTCTTCTTTTTTCTCCACCCCCTCTCTCATTAAAACTGTGCGCCTAGGCTTCTAATTAAATCCCACTTGAAAGTCTTAAAAGTCAGACTCAGATTTATTCAATTTGCATTTCTGAACAGGGAACATTGCCTAAAAGGATTAATAAATTGTTTGAAAATGCCTCTTTCTGCAGTGTGCTGTTGTTGCTTGTAAGACAACACCCCTTCACTACTATTCATGGCATTCTTTTACTTTTTCAACACATTCACTCTCAGTTATTCACATGCAGACACACAATCCAGGCCCTATACGCAGTGAACCTGGCTGGCCATTCATTCATTTGTACAAACATGCGCACACTGTGTGATTTCAACCGTCACTTGTCAATTGAATTCACATGCTTACAAAGAAATAAAGCCCCCCAATTTTTTTGAAGCAGACAGCACACACACATCCTGTTGCTAAAATGCTGGCAGTTACGCATTTGCCACTTTCACACACAGCAGCCGTGTAACCCTGTTGGCAGACATCCAGGTTGTTCCAGCAAGATGTGATGGAAGCGTACAGTGAAGGTTGGGGGAGCACACAAAGCAACTGAAAAACATGGACGGGTGGTTGAGTGTGTGTGTGTGTGTGTGTGGGCATATATTAAAATGATCCACACTACAGGATTAAAACAGAAGCAGGAAGATTGGCACAGAGAATTTCTTCCATGTTGACATGCCACTGGTAAACCACTGGGGTGACATGCTGCTGCAAGATGACAAGCCTTGGTTTGGGAACTCCCCAGGTGAAAAATATTATGTATTTTCATACACTGTGACAAACCTGTATTGTAATTGTTAGAGAATTTTTGTTATGATTTATTTTAAAATTATAATATGGATGAGATGGCTGAGAACATCTTTCCTTCTTGCTTCTGTAATACGTGCACAAAACATTCTCTTGTCTCAGTCTCGCAGTGCATCACTGGCTCGCGGTGCGTCACTGGTGCTGATGTCATGAGAACATGCCCAAACATTCTCTTATTTCCATCTGGATGCTGACTCATCCATGGCCATGGCTCGTGTCGATCTGACTGTAGCTGGTTATGAGGGAACACCTGTTGGACTCTGCTGATGTATAAAAGTCTGCAGCAAACTCTATTTGACGCTCACTCTGTGACATGTCCCATGCATTCTGAATCTCTGTATGTAATCTGTCCTGAATGAGTCCTTGCAAGTAAAAA